ACACACATACACACTTCAGTGCAATTTCTTTTCTGTAGCTGCCTCTTTTCCAACTTAGAATAGTAATAATTAGATACTGGGAGCAATTTGTCATGTTTCTATTTCTGAACTATCTTAAATAAAAACATTGTTTAAAAAGTTGAAAGATGAGGGCCCTCCTGGTGGCACAGCGAGTATGGCAAGGCAGACCTTTCCTGACCCACCAGCTGCTCCCCTTAGCAGTGTTCTGCTCCCCACTCTGTCTCTGGTGAATCCTCTCACTATCCCTGCACCTCTGGCTTGTACCCAAGTTCTGTATGCATAAATAAATAAATCTTAAAAAAAAAAGTTGAAAGATGAAAATAGCAGATACCTGCATGTATACACACACACCTACTTCTTTAAAATTTGTCCTCTGTGCACAGCATAGAGAAGGAGGCAGATGCCATGGTCCTCAGAAGGACATTCTCTTGCCACATTGAGTTTCACAGGCTATCAGAACTCACCAGATAGATAGTTGTTCTACAATGTTTTTGCCCTTTGATAGGGCCTTGCCAGCTGGGCTGTCCCTCTAAGTCTGTCTGTCTTTTGTTTCCTAGGGAGACACAAGCTGAATGGTATTTGCAATTTAAAACAGTTAATGACTTTCTGGAAGGCTGTCACGCTGGAACCCTGGCTACCTTTCCTCAGGGTCAGAAACAGGCTAAATCCAGAGGACAAAAGGATGATCTATTGAGGTGGCTATGCCCTCAGCCTTTGGAGTTTAATAAATCCAAATGAAAATCTGGCTATGCCACTGTTGACCTAAGTGCTGCTTTAACTTCCTGAGCCTGGTTTTCACCACCTGTAAAAAGAAGCTATTGACAGAGTTTACCTCATTGGACTCTTATAAGATTAAATGAGATAAGGCATCTAAAGCACTTAGTAGCATTCCTGGCACATAGTAACTCCTTAAAATACATCATAATAGTTAGGCCATTGATCTAAACTATTGACTTGATCTACATATGGAAAAAAACATTACTTTAGGATTTGGGTGATTTGAAAGCAAGTATTACATCCGAAGTTTGATTCCTTTGTTGAGTGTAAAGCTCATCACAGGTTATATATGCCATGAATACCTGCTGAATGAGTGCATGAAAAACACAAATAAATGAATTACTTAAATTCTATGGCCCTCAGTTTCCCTTTTATAAAATGTGGATAGAATGATAGGACCTTATTCCATTGGACTATTAGGATGACAAAAATGTCAGATTATTTAGACACAAATATACTTTGTATCCTAATAAAGTGAGTATATACACATTAGACAATAAGCTCAATAGCCAGAGACTGGACCTAGATATGTCAAGTCTTTGTAAACAAGGCATGGGGGTCGATATTCCCCTGTATTTCTGACAATCATATTTTCCAAGATCTAAGTATTATTTTTAGCAAGGGGATATTCGACCTAAACAAATAAAGTATACAATGAGCAGTTAAATGTGATGAAATTATTGGCTTGTAGCTTGTCTTCTTTCTGAAAGTAACTTGTCTAGCATGGCTCACCTTGATAAACATCCTTTATAGAGTCTTGTGAACTGAAAATGCTCCCAGAGTACTTCACAGCAAACATTTAGCTGTTAGAAGTTTCATGACTTTACTGAAGTATTTTTCTGAGACATAAAGAGACTGAAATAGAAAGCAAGGGCCAGAACACGGGTCTATCCACCACGACTGCAACCTAGAGAAAAAATGATGTTTCTATCTCTCAGAATTCATGACTGTACAAAGAGTTAATTTCAAATAAACCCTATTCAGATGTAGGATAGTAATAATTCTTTTATTTTATGTTATCTCTTGATATACAAGTCTTTCTAATGGTAAGAATGCCTTGGAAAAATTGAGCCACTCTTGACTCGGAGTTTCTTCATCTTAGTGCTACTGACATTATGGGCTGGGTGATTCCTTTTTTGCAGCGACTGCACAGGGCCTTGTGCCAAGATTATAGCCATAGATACCAGTAGGAGTGCCCTCCAAATCATGACAATCAAAAATATCACCAGGTATCACCTTCCAAGAAGGGGCAAAATCCCTCTTGGATCAGTCACTAACCCCACATGGGCCAGACAAGTCTTTCCTCAAATTGTTTCTGTCTCTCACATACAAGGGCAAAACCACTAACCACTGGCTGCAACTTAGAGCAACTACTAACTTAGATCAGTGTAATCATTGAATATTTTATCTTTCAAGACATTCTCTCTCTCCACCTCTTCCTCCCTTTTCCCACCCCCCCCCTTTTTTGAGTAGGTCAGTCACCACTACTAACTGAAAATGGCATTTGATTTTTACACAGAAATCTGTAATGTTCACATTTCACATCAAGGCATTTTTGTGGAACATCCTATTACTCAACATTCTCAAAAACTGACACAAATTTACAAGCTTGTTTTATAAAAGACAAACTATTGTGCTGAATTAAAAGTTGTTAAACTTTGCAACCAAAGACTTCCTCCTTACTCTCAAGGGCATTACCACAGATCATTAGCCACTGACTCAACACCAGACTAAAAATTGTGCATATACACACACACACACAGATGCAGGTATAAAAAATTCTAAGAATAAGCTGACAAGCTAGAAAAGCTCACTGGAAAGAAGAAACTTAATAAATACCCAGTTGCCATAAAGTGTTCTTAGTCTGGTTAATAGAAGAATCACATCCCTCTCCATCCTTGCCACAAGCCCCTTGGTAGTTGCTGGGTCAGGATTTTTTTTTTTTTTTTTACTTTCAAATTAAATCCCCTAAATAAAGCAGAGATGACAGCCTAGGAACTAATGGCTTTTTATCCAATGAGCGCCACCACAATTTGTTCATAAAGAAGAGGAACATTTTTTTTTAAAGACTAGGAAGCTGGACAATAAAAAAATCTCATTTGAGAAGTAGAGAAGGAAAGAAAAACTGAGTTAGTCTTAATTAAAAAAATCTTGATTAACTAATTAGCAGTTCATTAGTTTCATTAAACGTTCTTCATGTAATTTAGTGGTAGCCTTAAATGTTCACCATTGAGCATGACAAGCATGAATGTATGTCATTCTCTTTTTAGGAGGCACGTGAGAATTTGATGCCTTTCCAGTTATAACATGGGACTAACTGAAAGCCTCCCAGACTTTATCTGTCTGAAAAAAATCACAATGTGTCACCTTCCCTGGGCAGAGGACCTGGAAATTTATAGAACTTCATGTACTTACATGTGAAATAGAACCATTATTTTGAATTCACTTTCTTTTGTTTTTTCTCCTCATGGGTTTTGCGTTATGTTTTTGCTTAATATTGGGGTTCAGAATCTTCAGCTTCCAAGAGCTTTAATCCTATTTGACTCAAATTGGAAAAAAAAATAGCAGTTTAATAACTCAGGATTTTGTTGATGAAATACAACTAAATTTACGAATGACCTCACATCTATTTTAGTGGTATTTGTAAGTACTGTTAATGGAACCACATTTGGGATAGCACACAACACTGAGTTATGGCTCACTCTCAAGTTTCTCAGACTCCAACTGTAAAAAGGTCTGGAAATGACCTTGAGAAAGGATATTATTTTTATCCTCTGTTGGGTATTATTGGGATACAGCTCACTCAGAAATGTGTTCCCATCAAACCAGGAATATAGCTATACTAATGCAGAATTTTTGGAGCTAAAACAAAAAGGCACCAACACACAAAGTAGAGAGGAAGCTATGGTCAATAGGCAGATGAACAGGCAGAGGAATCATGGAGCCCTGGGATGTTGTTTTTGGGATTTCCTCTTAAGATTATAATTACTACATACTTTAACTTATTTGTAGTAAAGAGAAAATGAGAGGAAGTGAAGAAGTACCACTAGGAAGTAAAGAAATTTGACCTCTGCATTATTCTTTAAGAACTGTTCCTCAAAATAAGGTCTCAAAGTAATTATTAATGATCTCAGTTCCAAATACAGATTCCATGACCCTAAATTAACTTCTGGATCAGTATCTTTGGGGTTAGGATAAAAGGTTCTGCACTTACAAGGTCTACAAGGGACTTTTGTGAATACTATGATTAGGATTCGGTTGAAACATTTGCAGTGGAGGTCACTGAAAAAGGATCTCTGCTACAATATATATGACAAAAAACAGATACTTAAAAAAAATGAGCTTTGTGGTTATATCCAAACCCTGTGATTATTAAAGTTTAAGACTCTTTACTTTCAGCAGGGGTGGAGAACAATAACCATTTCATCTAAAACCAGAATGATGACGGCAATATAAATCAAAACCATTTCAGCAGGTTTCATTTGGTCTAATTTCTCAGGAGATATTAATCATTGTACAGTCCTGTACAAATGACATCAACTCCATTTTAACTCAGAATACAGAATTCTTGCTCAGATTCTTTCTCTAGTGTGCTATTTTGATACTATAAAGGAAAATAAATAAATTGGAATAGGGGCAATCAAGATTGCAAGATGCCAACACCACCAGGACATTAAAGAGAAAAATGGCCCATGCTAAATCTATAACCCAGCATGCAAATTGTCAAAAATATTTATCTGCCACAGAGTCACCAGGGATAAAAAAATAACTCCTTCATTTTTCCTTTGAAAATTTCTATGTCAAATAGAGGTGACAAAGAATTTGTCCTAAAAGTTCAAAATATTATTAGTTCTAGTAAAGCTCACCTGGAGACCAAAGTTAGTCAAATTCATAAAGTGCTAATGACAAAAAATATCAACACTCAATTAAGTACAGCAAGTTAATTTACAACAATAAATAACAAAGTTGGTGGGCTCTCCCTGGAGGCGCAGCGGTTTAAAGAACTGCATTAAGAAGCTTAAGCCACTTCCTCATGAGTTCCATCCCCGCCTGCACTGGAGGAGATCCACATGGCACGGCAGACCTCTCCTGGCCCACCCGCTGCTCCCCTCACCAGTGTACTTAGTCAATCTGCCTGTTCTGCTCCCCACTCTGTCCCTGATGGATCCTCTCACCCTCCACATCTCTAGCCTGTACCCCAGTTCTGTATGAATAAATAAATCTTTAAAAAAATAAATAAATAACAAAGCTGGAAGACTGAAATTGTAGCAAAGGAAATGCATGAGAATCAAAGTTTGGCTCCCATTTTGGGGGTTAGTGTCAAGTAATTTTGCACACCACCAGATACACCATTTATTTCTCACTGGAGCATGTTTTTCTTGGCACAGATAAAGGATAATCAGAAAAGTATCTAAAGCCTAGAGAAGCACAAGTATTGCAGAAGCAGAGGCAAAAACAACTGGAAAGACCCAAAATGAACAACACATATCTGTGCCTATGGATTAAGTAGCCTCTATCAAACAAGGCCAATCAAAATGTGAAAAATTTCATGTCAAGCACCTTTTACTAAAGGTGTTTCCCCAAAATAATTCACTTAGGTGTAGAAATTCTATGGAGGAATAAAGAACAAAGGGAACACTTAAGATTTGTACATTGTTTCCCTTTTATTTTAATTCACTGTGCATGCCTTTCCAGTAAGATAACTGCCTACAATTACAAATAGTAACATTCCTGTGTATATGGGAAGCCGCTTTACTTTGTTTCATGGTTGCACCTAGTGCAAGCTTTTCTAAGTAGGGGGAGAGAAAGCATACTATCACAATAATAGTTTTATTTTCTTGTTTTTCCTTTTATTTATTTATTTATTTATTTTTGCTGAGTGTGTATCACTCCCCCTTTAATAGGGGGTAGGAGAAATTTATAAGTTCCTGACTACAGGAAACCCGCCAAACTATAGGGAATGACCCTTCTTCCCCAACCTCCAACTCACTGGATTTTTGTATTGCAAAATCTCCCAGGAGACAACCTAAGTTTGGGTCACTACATATGTGATTCCTCATTTACTTGGTCTATCAAATACTACTAACTTCTTCAGGTCAGGAATTTATAGCCCTTATCATAACCAATATTCAAGAAGTGAACCACATATATTGTTCTGTCCAGAATTGAACTAAAAGCCTAAAAACTAAGTTCATGGAAACAGGCCTGATTCACAGTGACTACCAGGGCCACTAAAGCATTTAATCTAACAACTCACTTCTCCAGAACTCATTTCCAGTATTTAAGGGAACATGGACCACACATGCTAACTCCATTCACACTCAAACTGAAGATTTCCATTTAGTCAGTCAGTGCCTCCTCACTCTTTCCCTGCCTGTGTTCTATGTTCGGCTCCATACCAACACCAACACACTTAACACCATGTTGTCTTAACTGACTGAACTATTTGTGGTGGGTATTAGTATAGAGTTGGCCATGATTAAAAGCATTGTTTTAAAGAGATTTCCTACAATGCATGTTCCTGGAAGGTATAAGAGTGTCCAAGCAGAAAGTTTTCCTGTCAGGTCATGAGACAGAGAAATAATGCTTTAATTTCCTATTTAAGGCATGTAGTGGATTAACTGCTACCCTCCTGGTTTGCAAGATCTTGAAAGTGTGTCTATCATGATGCCATTATAGTCAAATCTGAAATGTAAGGAAGTAGGGACTATGGTCATTTTATTTAGACCCCAACTTCTCAACAGCATTTCCATTAGAACCACAGAAGTCATTTGAATTCAGCAAGTTTGGGAATATTTTTACCATATTCAACTTCTTGACCCTTTAACTTCTATGATTTTCTATAGGTTCATCTACCATTATTAAGTTGGTAGTTTAGTGTGTTATTAAGAAACATTAAGAAAAACTGGAGACATACTGGTAGGCCTTATAATTCTATGCCATGTTAAAGATCTGCTAAAATAGAGCAATATTTACTTAAATTCAGACAATTATTATTCTTTTAATAATTTCTCACTTAGGTAAAATTTTACACTGCATTAGTAATTTTAGGACAAGAAAACATTGGCTGAATCTGTCACCAGGTGTGAAGGCAAGAATTATAAAAATTGACAAAGATATCCATATACTAAAAGGTACTAATAACATGAATCAAGATGGAATCCCTTACATATAAGTGAGATAAAAGATAGATTTCAAAAAGAAGCAATTGGTCATTATTTTTGCCTCCTACACATATCACACATTGCTTTTATTACCGGTGATACATGTGCACATACACACACACAATTAAAAAAAAAATCAGGAGTGCTTGGCACCAATTAATAATTGACAAATTAATTTTTTTTCAATCTCCACTGAAATGCATGAAGAATGCTGAAAGTAAAAACTGGCCTTTTAATCTTCGTTTACCACATGTCTACGAAAGAGCTATTGTTATATTAGTGGAATATACAATCACAAGGAATGATGGCTATTAACAGTTTCTTTTTGGCTGTGTCTATACAGGTCAAAGATAAAAATCAAGAAAGACAGTTGAGAAAGTCAAAACCTTAACTGTGGGGCTCCAGTTCTCCAGCTGGGTTATTCATAGACATTATAATATGACAGTCCAGGCCTAGTATGGACACAGCCAAATCCCAGAATCCCAAAGGCAACTTGTCACAAGAAATTATTAGGAGGTATGTGGAATATAATTTCCTCTTAAACAAAAGTCCGAATCCCTCTTCAAGTCTGTGTGTGGTCTTAGTTCCACAACTACACAGGAATGCAAAGAACTCCGTGAGGGTTGTGTAGGAAGGCCACATTATTAAGGGCAGTAAGAACTCTGAAAACATTGAGAAAAGGAATATAATTCAGCTCAGGGTAGAGAAGTGTGAGCATGGGGTCAATTAGTAGTAATTTTTGTGACTGTGAATGTTTGTTTCTTTGATACAGTGTTTAACTTACTCTTCTCACCTTTTAGTGCAGAGAAAAAGCAATAAATAAAATGGAGCCAGACAGTGTTCTTTTTAAATTAAGGAAGACAATTTCTTGATGATGAGTGTTATTCGATGTTAACAAGTGTTGCCAAGAGAGCTGGGAAATCTTCACAGAAGGGTTTTAAAGAAAGGAGCAGAGAGGCTCATCAGTCTGAAGCACTCTACGATGGTGCTGCTGGAGCAGGGGTATTTGCCTTTGGAGGTGTAGGCCCTGGGTCATGTGCACTGTGTGTATGTACATACTCCACTGTGCTTGTGTTGCACAAATACTCATGCATATGGAGTCAATATAAACTGGCACATAATAGGTGTGAGTGAAAAGTTATATAAATCTGCCATTTCCCCCTTGACCTATAAACAAGGGAAAACAAAATTTAAAAAAAATCAAACATATGCCATTGGGCCAGATCTCTTTCTACCATATTCTAATTCAAAGAAGGGAGGTAGAAGATGAGGAAAAAACCCAGTTTGAAACAAATAACCCCCAAGGCCTCTCAGCTACACTTGTGTGGCTGGCTTTCTTTATATAATAAGATACTCAGCACATGGGACAAAGTTAACAAACTAACAGCAACAACGCAAGATTTTCTTATACTTCCACATCAGGAAAGAAATCTACCCTGTGGATTTACATGTTAAGGTGAACTAGGTAAATAGGCAGTTGTAAAACAATGGGCTGTCATGTTTTAACAAATATGATGGACTTTTGTTATTTTTCTTTTCAGATGTAAATTATTTAGGAGGTTTATTTCAAAACGGCCACAGGATTGATTTGCTGCTTCTCCCACCCCCCTGCCCTCCCCTATAGATGATACTTCCGTAAAAGTTCAGATTGCCATGGATGTTTTCTCTCAGGGAACCGATCTGGAATTTTGATTTTAAGGAAATCCTGGATGCACTTCTCTAGCTCTTCCTCTATTGAGAGCTTTTCTTTAACAGCTTTTTTTTTGCTGCTCATGTTCGACTCCCTGGAGCCTGAAGTCAGAGTCCGGAGCAGATCACTTTTCCGCCGCATCTCTGACTGTTGGATCAGCTGGACGGGGCCCTTTTTCATGGGCCGGTCCAGAGTCTGGATATTGGTCTGGCGTGTCACCGGCCCACAGATGACCGTCTCCTGGGGAGAGCTGGCCTCAGACTGGCTGTCACAGCTGGAGGTGGAGAGGTCGTTGCAAGATGTGCCACTTTCCCCTTCTTTGTCACCCTTGCCGTTCTTGCAGCAGCAATCACAGTGCGAGGAGGACCACCGGGAAGGCTCACCTGTAAGGGAAGCATCAGACACTGGGTTAATGTTGGTCAGCAACACAGCACCTGAGCACACATCCACATTTCCCCCATGCACACATCCACACAGGTATCCACACCATGTCTTTGGAACAAGTGGGGTAGCACACAGCATGGTTGCGACCAGAGCACCAAGAAGCCTGGCTCATTGAGGGGAGGAGGTTAACAAAGGCAGGCAGTGCAAGAGCAAACAGTATATATAATGCTTAATTAAGCCCATGGGCCCTGAAGTCAGATAAAGTTAGTATGAATACTTAGCTATACCATTCACTATCTTTGATGCCCTGGCAGATTCCTTAAATTCTCAAAGCTTCAATTTCTTCATCTGTCTGATAAAGATAATCTTTCCACCTCTCCTTAGTACTGAAGGGAGGAATTAGATATGAAATGAAATTCTTTATGCACTACATGACCCACAGAAATCACTCAATAAATGCTAGTCACTTTCACTGTGGATGACATTCACCCGAATCCATGTGTTAGTGGTTAGTTATAGTGGAGGAGTTTGTCAATGAAATGGCAACTTTCAGTTGGGAAGGGCTAAATTCAGTCAGTCTCCATTGTAAGCTCTGTGCACCCATTAACTCATTGGGTCCTCCTGATATTTCAGTGAACTAAGTAGCTCCACTTCCATAGGAAGAAACTGAGACCTTGAGAGTTAAAGAAACTCACCGTAGTTTGTACAATTTGTAAGTGGCAGAACTGGGATTTGAATACAGATTCCCCAGATACTATAAACATGGCAATTAGCTAATTTTCTTCAATCTGCCTATTTGTAAAATTGCAAAGTTCCTGCTTCTATCACACTCTGATATATTTCTTTCTTTCTGTCTTTCTTTTTAGCATATGCTTCACAGCTACTATTTCATGAACTCCCTGTGGTGGATACAGTGAAGTATCCATTGTTGTAATCCCAGCAAATAGCTCAGGTACAGTGTAGAGATTCAATAAAAGTCCATATTCTAAGAGTAACTTTTATTAAGTACTTGGATCAAGCTACACATGAAGCTAGTGGACTTTTCAGTTATATGATCTACTAAATTACGTTTGAACTAGTGTCAGTCCCTCTCTTCCTATTCTCCTGAGCATTAACTCACAGAACTGCATTCTGAACTATTTGGAAGCAGAGTCATTTTTCAGACACCAGTTGGTGGTTCTTTGAACTAGAAAATCCAGTGTCACAGCACAGAGCAACTCCCTTAACATAAGTCATTGTTCCCAGCCTTCCATACACTGAACAGGTTATAAGTCAAGAACCTGAACTTGATATTACTTACCAATCTTATGCTATGCACAGGTCATCTGTTATAAACTTCATATAATTTACTGCACTTAAGCCATAAAAAGTAAAGGGAAAGGAACTCCTTTTGTGATGCCAATATTGAGCACAAGGTTAATGTAGTATCTTTATATACTGTAAAGGAAGCCCATTTTGACTTGTACTACCTTATTCTCAGATAATGTGTCGAATTGTAATAAGATTCTGCTTTATTGGTATTTCCAACATCATCTAAGTAGAGAAAACTTATAACTGAAGAAAGTTTTGTCCTGTCTTTGCATGCAATGCCTGGTTTTTACACAATTCAAAGATGTAAACATTTATAGAAAATTATCCACTTTTTTGAAAGGGAGTAAAAAGACTACCTGTACATAATAACTCCAAAAGTATCTCTTAATAGAACTTGCTAGTTCACACTACTACTTAAAATACACTGAGTAATCACAATATTAATGTATCCATTAAATTAAATGCAGTAATCCAATTATCCAAAAAGAACTGCAGTAGCAAGTAGTGTCCTAGTTATTTCCAAACTATTACAGATACATGTCTTCCATGCAACAAAGAAACTCTTCAATATGTACCAGCTGGTGACTACAAAATACCAGCTACAGTACAGTCTGTCAGCACAGATTCAGGGGGTGGGGGTTGTTTTTCTTCTTCGGAAGGTAGAAGCAGAAGAGTTGCTGACTCTTCTAACCTGACCATCCCTATTCTAACATGACTTGATGGACATATGGCTTTAGTCAACTGGGGCAAGGAAAGGTAGTCAGTAATCAGCGCAGAGTTAATCAAGTTTGATCCTTTTTGAGGAAAATTTACATGATGACCTTAGTCTTAAGAAAAAGAAAAAAGATGAAGAGAGGAATAAAAAAGGAGAAAAAGTATATATTCTGAGATATGCCTGTTACCTTAAAACTAGAAGATTTATTACTTTGATCATAAACTCTGCTAAGCTAGCCAAAATGCAAGCCTTGTCCTTTTCTGCCCATGAGTAATCTTCTCCACATAAATGTATTCTACTCAGTGGACTCAGGAGGAAAACCTGAGGTTTTTCTAACAGCCAGTGTGACAACACAACCACCATCATATGAGGGAGTCCTATGTATGCATAAAGAAAAAAATGCACATAATTGTCCACTATCGGTTGGAGCCAAGAACCTGGCTTACATCCTGCTCTTTCCTGCCTAAACTATTGGGCGAGGCCATGGATTTTAACATCAACTGGAATCCATCAACTTCCAGGCAATAAGAAGTATTACTTTCCACTACCCTGAGCACTATCACTATTAAAGGGAAATTGAACAACTTATTTCAATGGAGTCTGTTATACTACCACATGTTCAATATTTTATGAGGACCTTTAAATGTTTTACCATTTTGGCAAGATAAGATGACTTCTGAAGTCCATACATTATGTTGAAATAAAGGAAAAAGATGGAATTAATATAGTCAAGCTGGAGGTGCTGTGTAAAGACTCATTTTGAAATTTGAAAAATAGATGAAATGTGAGAGGATAGCTAGGGATGTCTTTTGGAATCACTGTCTATATGGCAATTTCCTTCCCAAGAAGGGGCCACAGCAGAGGTTGTAAAGCAACCAAATGCATGTGGGTGTGAGAGCCCTTTGTCCTTGCCATCCTATTGATGTGCGCTCACTTTCCTGGAAAGTGTGGGAGGGCCTGTAAAACCCTGTAATTCAAGTATACACAATCCCCCTATATCACAAACAATGATCTCATAAACACGGTGGTACTTCAAATTGTAATATACATTTGCTCCAATTTGCTGAGGTTTCAAAACTGGTTGAAAATCCTCTCCACTGAGGAGAAAATAGGTTACAATTGATTAGTCAAAATATGGGGAGAAAACAAATCCATCCCCACAAAACCTCATTTTTATATATTAAAAAAGCAAAAAAAAAAAAATATTGCCTTTGGGGTTTATTAATTAGTTGCTGGTGAAACCCTAATAATTCTACCTTATTTTAAAAACAATCAATTGTTAAATTTTAACAATTATTATTATTTAACATAATAAGAATATTATGTTACTCTTAATGTAATAGCAGTTTGATGAATGAATGGATGGATGGATGGATGTTGAATTGTATCAAGATGACAAAATAGAATTAGGAACCAGGCCCTATAATTGGTGATTATGTATACATAAAAAAAAAATGTGCATATTTATTTATTTATTTATGAGTTAAAGAACTGGAGTATAGGCCGGAGGTTTGGGGTGGAGACAGGACAGAGAATACACCAGAGAGAGTGGGGAGCAGAATAGGCAGATGTATTAAAACACACTGCTGAGGAGAGCAATGGGTGAGACAGGAGAGGTATACTGTGCCATGTGTGCTATGTGCATTAGCTCCCTGGCAAGGATTGAACTCAAGCTACAGATAGTGTGATATTGCTAAGGGTTGACTCCTACACCTTCAGGGAAGCCCCAGTTTGAATACAATATTTCACCTCTCTGGGACTCAGTGTCGTCAACTGAAAAAAGAAGGTTAATAATAGCATATTCATCACAGAAAAATGAAATGTAAAAAATTTAAATGAGAAAGTTAATATAAAGGTGTTACATAGTTTGTGGCAGGCAAGGAACATTCTACTTGATCTATAGAAAAAAAAATCACAAGCTTGTAATATACAAATATTAAGTTCCACCAATATATATACAACTAGTTCTTAGGTGTGATGGGAGTATCATGTTAGGAAGTAGCTAACACCAAAACTGGATTCACCAAGAAAGTGTATACTTAGCATTTACAAATGGGGTGCAGAATAACTACAGCTATGTATAGTGCTGACACATGGTGTGTGAACAGGGGATAACTTTGGGAGAATGCTCATTTATAACTCAGTGCTTAGAATTTTACATGGACAAGTTTCACAAGATAAAGATTTATTTGAGAACACAGCAAATAAATTAAAACAAGAACAGGAAGGAATTTTTACTTTGATTAAATGTGCAGGGGCAGAAAACTCATTTGTCCCAAGTCCTTACAGCTCAAATCATCCACAATTCATAACCTGAAAAAGCTGAGGATCATTCAAACAAACCATATGATTAGATTTGGCCCCTATTCACACCGCTCCTAACTGTGGATGTCTTTACTGATAAAGATGGAGGAAAACAGGAAAGACGACCTACTATTTCTTTCCTATGAAAAATTCAAACTGAGCTGAGTGAAACATGACTTAGCAAAACTCACAAAGTGCTTATGCATTTTTAAAAGAGGCAGCTCTGCAATCTACCCACACTTCAAATTCTCCACCTGCTAATGGTTGTGAACACAATGCACATCATTTACAGCAACAGCTGGGAAAACTGCTTTCCCCTGTCTTCTCTGTCAATGATGTAGGAGCCTGCCAGTCTGGGAGCTAGGTGCCCAGATTTAATTTATTGAGGCTACCAAAAGACTTTCTTGGTATACTGGTTGAAAAGTCAATAATGGTCAAATTGATGTTTTCATAATTCTGCTAACCTTGGAAAGGATATGGCGTAGTGGAGATTGGGAATAGACAGACTGCAAGCTTTGGAGAAAAATGCATCTTCAAGCATAACAATCATCATTTCTTGCTTGTATTTAACCTTTCCCATTTATGGACATGTGTCCTGGAAAAGACCGAGCTAAGGACAGTCATTAGGAGTCAATAAAGAGAAAGTGCAGACAGTTAAACCACCCAGGA